TTGTGAACTGGTATAATAATAGACTCCTTCCGCTGATCAGGCAGTTATTCCTTATTCCAAATAGAATTAATGAGTTTATGGATCTCAGACCACAACGTTTCGCCTCCTGCTTGAATCAGTTGTCGGAATTTGTTCACTACCTGGAGATTTATATTTTTTTAACTTTGCAATAGCACTTTCAACCTCAAAAGGTCTAGGATGAGGTACCAACGGCTCAGCTGTATGTATTTCTATCTGCCTAACATCACTCACCCTATGTACACTCATTAGCCACAATACTTCTAAATGTTTGATTTAAATTTCCTGACTCATGCTCAATGAAAAATTAATTTAGAGTGCACTACTAAGAATGATTTCTGCTCTTTTCTTGGTGTCACCTTGCTTATAAATATTATAACTTTCTTAATATCACAATTAATTGCTTCTAAAAACATTATCAGAACTATCATATTTTTAATTTTCAACTTTTAGGTTACAGAAAAAACAGTGGAACTTTCTTTTTTGCTGGAAAATAATTGCTTGCATCAAATATTGTTAATTTGACAGCATAAAAAATCAGTTTCACTTCCGAACCACTGATCCACATACAGAAGGCAATAGGGAATGAGCACTGCACTGAATGCTGTCACCTACATTTCCTTTCAGAAAACACTCCTCTTTTGGCACTTTTCAGCGTTTCATTCACTTTAAATTAGTATGTCCCTTGAACACAAGAAGTATATCAACACAGCAAATTAAGATGCTTCTTTCAAAACACAAAAATTATGAATGTGAAGACCAAGCTGGTAGCTCTGTGACATCATTTCCTGTAAGAACATTTCCTTCCCACACCATTTTGCTTATCACTGATGGTTGTATCAACAGGCTCATTTGTCAGTTCAAACTGTGTATGTGGTCACAGCAGTGTCTTTATATTATGGCATGAGCACTGTCTGGCACTTATTACTTGTTTGCTGTGTACATATGAAGTTCAAACTTCACTATCCAATTCAGGTTTTCTGGATAATTTGATTAGAGTCATTCTGCTGCCTAATCCACTCACTTCAGAACTGCTGTTTCAGAGCAGTATGTAAAGAAGCGCTTTAGTATCTTCATGTAGCAACTGTTGTTGAGATATCAGTTACTAACACTATGTAATATTCAAGACAGAAAATTAGGACACCATTTTATGAAAATTAGGACAGTTCCTTGAAAATTTGGCGCAGTAAAATTCTGCCTAACACAAACTCCATAAGAACCAAGCATGTAAAATGTAGGTGGTTGAAGTGTCAGGCCTGCAGTCTTCATTACATTATCAGACATATATGATAGTTAATGTTTTGCCAACAGGAGAAATGTGTTATATTAAGGTCATACTAGTGTTGTATGTGCTGAACTTGTACACACTTTAATGCAGTTTAACAAAACTCACTCATTCACACAGCCAAGCACTTCTTAAGAAGCCGCCAATTGTGCAGCTACTCAAGAACTTCCCAGCATTTTATGGAACCTGAAGGTTTATTACTGTATTCACAAGAGCCTTCCACCGGTCCCTATCATGAGCCAGACTGATCCAGTCCATACCATCCCACCCTGCTTCTCTAAGAACCATTTTAATATTATCCACCCACCTACATTTTGGTCTCCCTAGCGGTCTCTTTCCTTCTGGCTTTCCCACCAATATCCCATGTGCATCCCTCTTCTCCCCTCATTCGTGCTACACGGCCTGCCAATCTCTTCCTCCTTGACTTGATTTTTCTAATTATACTTGGTGAAGCTCCTCATTAAGTAGTTTTCTCCAATCTCTTGTAACTCCATCTCTCTTCGATCCAAATATTCTCCTCAGCATACTGTTCTCAAACACCCTCTATCTATGTTCCTCCCTTAAAGTCAGAGACCAAGTTTCACACCCATACAGAACCATGGACAAAATTATAATTTTTTATATTTCAATTTTTATGTTTTTAGACAGCAGATGAGAAGACAAAAGGTTCTGGTCTGAATGGTAGCAAGCATTACCTGAATTCAATTTCCTCTTAATTAGTCCAACAAAACAGAACAGAATGTCAAAAGTCCTCTGCAAAAGCAGACTGCATCTAAAATATTTCTGAGGGTGCATCACCACAGGATAGTAATATAGATCACTACAGCATCATTAGAAAGGTATTAGATCCTATTTTCAACATGTGATGGGAACCAAAATTGCCATACCAGAGATGTTACTGAACACAAAGGACTCTTTAAGATCTGCCCTCTCAAAATATGATATACTCAGATATTCTGGATAAAATAAGGCACAGGGGAAGGCGATGGAGGAGCCAAAAGTTAAGTACAGAAAATACAAGGTAAGAAGTTTTATTTCAATTTTAAATTTATATCACATTTTATAAGTGGGAAAACATTTAAATGGTAGGCCAAAATAAAGTCAAAATTGAATACTGAGAATTACATGAAAATACTTCATCAACAATGCATGCTACTTATATGAAATGTAATTCTAACTTGTAACTGGAAACTGGATTCTGGGAACACTGTGTGTCCACATTCATGTGCATGTGCATGAATAAACACAGTGCTGTGTTGTTTACGGCATCAAAATCCATACAATTTATGCACAAGAGCAATTCAGAAGCCAAAATTAACTAGAAACCTAGAAGCCGTGTCTTATTCCTAGCACTTGAGGTCCTGGATGGCCACTAGCACAACATTATAGATATTTTCATCTCTGTCTGTTCATGAGCCTGCGTTGAGAATCTGTTGGAGTGGGAGAAACTAGCCGACTTTCACAGAGTCTGAATTCTCTACCTTAAAGACTAGACAACATCTTGTGTTATATAACAATAGGAAACGTTATGTGCTGTCACAGAAATGTACTTACCACAAGAGTAATGGCCGTGGTGCAACAGCACAGTACTGAAATCACATTTGCATTTTAAGAACAGGCTCATTTGCAGCTGATCAGCTGTGTCAATATTGGGACAGTATCCAATGTTTTTGAAACTCTCTCTCCATCACCATGGATTGCTGTGATGAGTATTTCGTTCAGATATCATATTTATTAAACAGAAGATCGCATTAAGTGGAGGAACTGTTTTTGAAGAGACTGTGGACCTGTTGTCTGACAGATTACTGATGAATGAATGAATGCTCTTGGCTGTCCAAGCATGTGCCTTTATTCTGCAATGCTGCAGAGGCAGCATATTTGTCCCAAACCTTATATACCAAACTATATAGCATCACGTCCCAGTAAAGACTTCTTAGTATTACATTTCATGGTATTTTAGATAAACTGAGTAATACTGTACCCAGTGACAGGTTTTAATATCAGTGACTGACTTTTGTGTTACAGTAGTTGGTTATTTATATCAAGTGCAGAGACTTTTTAGCATCAAATTAAATAAAAGGACTTTACGTGGGGTCAAACGGAAGCAATGGAGGAGGACATTGCTGTAACTTATTTCAAGGTATCATATTAAACAAGGGCATGGAACTGAAGAAAATAATGAGAATCCTTAGTTAGTCTGATCAGTACAGTAGGTGAAATTCAAACTGGCAACCTTCCAGATACCAATCAGATATGTTATCAGTGAGGTAACCTTCTTGGTGTGAAGGTACGAGTAGGAGCATATGACTTAAATAGTTGTTATTACCATAGGCATACATAATGTTGTGTATTTTGGAAAGCATTTTCTTGGTTCATTGAAAATAAATAAGTTCAGATAAAAACTAGCTATGATAGAACTAAAAAATTTTGCTGTAAGTCCTGGGCAGTCAGTTCAAAGATTTATGAAACATGAAACTTAAATAATGTTCTATAATACCTACCTTTAACTTCTCAATTAATAGCTGGTTGACGACCTCCGACTGTGGCCGTGACGTTTTGTCTGTTGTGACTCTCCTCCTCACCTGTATAACATAATTGACCAGATGATGAATTAAGCAGTAATTGGTTATATCAGAATAGAGAGCAATCATAAATTTGTGAGTCATATTACAGAGGAGGTTGTCGTCTTTTTATGAGATTATGTACTTGTGGATCTGACAGCTGGTAGTTACACTATTCTACTCAGTTTGTGGGGGAATGTAACTAAGAAATTGTCATTTCTGAGGTCAGCTATGAGTTTAAACATTTCATATTTAATTCTAAAGATTCTGATGGTGGTCTATTATACTTAATACTACTAGTTTTCTGGACTTTAACCACCCTCCAACATTGCAGAAACAAGAAGACAGTGTAGTGACTGGAATTAGCCCCTTCTAATGACCTCAGCTGAGTAGATACCTATGAGGGAGCCCAGCTCAAAAAACATTGTGCTTTTGTTTTCAGAATACCAGACAATGACAAAGTCTGGGAAACTAGTAGTACTACATTTAATTTTTTTTTCTCAATTGGTAGTCAGTTCTTTGTAAATATGGCTGGCACCATACTGTTTGCTTACAGCAGGAGGGCTATCCATTTCATCCAATGGCTCATCATCCACTTGGTGATCTGTGTCATGAGATTCAGAACTGTCACCACCCGCTATATTAGTTGATCCTGAGGCCATCTGGAATGTTATAACAAATTTAATTTTTCCTTACCCTGTGATAGACTGTGAAAGCTGGAATCAACAATCATTCTTACCCATCTCAGGACTATACACATATTAGTGATGTTATTACTAGTGGTGGAAACAGGAGTATCCTTATCAAATATGACTTGTCTGTATCAACACAGCTCTACAGTGAGAAACAAAAAGAACACTAACTGGACACAACTGAATGTGTATCAGTTAGCCCACTGTTTAGCTGCTACCTTCATACATTCTACTGGGCACTCAACTCACATACCAGTGAAGCTGATGGTAACAGCTGCAGTGTCAATGAAGAGAGTGTAAGACATTCTAAGTGCCTTGCTTCCCATGTTCAGCAGATGTTTCAAAATATGTATTTAACTATGTGCTAAGTATAAACAAAATTCATATTATTTATACTGACAATAAAAAACATGTAAATTCTAAAGGGTTCTGACAATGGTGCAAAACACTCAGAATTAATGGGTTTTTGGACTTTTTTTCATTGTTCGGTATTCTACAAACCAGAAAAAAAAAGGACCTTTCCAAAACTGGATCTGTTTCCATCCTCAGATTTGGGGGGGGGGGGGGGNCTGAGCTGGTATCTCCCCCCCACGGATGGAAACAGGCCCAGTTTCCAAAATGTTGTGTTTTCTAGTTTCTAGAAGACTGGACAATGGGAAAAGTAAAAAAACCCAATAATTTTAAGAATAACATGTTTGATGCTAGGTTTTCACAGTGGTGACTGTAATGAGTACTGTATTTTGGGATGTGATGCCGTGAAGTCTGGTAGATAATCAGGTTCTGGAGAGATATTGGTGAACTTTTGTTGACTGCACAGCATCACATCCCAGAATAAAGTTTTTTATTTGTTGAGCATTTCTTACAAATAGTGATTAAAATGAAGTGTTTGTGCAGTTTTCATTTTAAGATATGTCTGCTTCTGTTTTATCTGCTGTACCTTCCCCCTTATCATGCTGTTCCTTCCAAATGTCTTACATACTGTGGGGCAGATAATATCCCTTCTTTTTACAGGTAAGCTCATAATAAAACTTCATATCTTGGGAACTCATTAATACTATTAATTACTAAATTATACTAATGCTTCCAGGAGGCCAAGATGCATGCCTGCAAATTATCCTTCTGTTTTCCAAAACCTCTGCAGCTTAAGGACTGTAAGAGCAGTGGATTCATAAAGCTGAGAGTTAACAACCAGAGTTAATATACCCATTGCCAGGTGCATAAAAGCCAATTTAATCTTTCAAGAACTGTCAGTAAATCTACAAGGGAAAGGTCATTTTGAGTTACCATGCCGACTTACAGAGACCTTTCTTGGGGGATGTTAATAACAAATGAACTTGGCTATCCCTCTCTCTCTCTCCGACACGCATGCATACACAAATATATATATATATATTCAGAGAATACAGTAACACCACAGATGCTCGTAAACACAAAGCAGAAAACTGCATGTCAGTACAACTTCTCTTGAGTTCAATAAAGTGAACTAGAGAGAACTTAATTGTGTCAATGTACTATTTTTTTCATTTCTGAATATGGAATGGTCTGCCTGCAATAAATGATGAACAGTTGTAAGAGACTCTGCATATACAGTGCTGGACCATATTATACATATGTTGAAAGTCAATACATCTCAATATATCCTCTAAAGCTCTGGGATCACTCCCATTGAAGAAATGGCAAACTATTTAGCAACTAGCTTAAGACAATGCAAACCGTTTTCAATACAAGGAAAACTGCACAAAATAAACATCAGTGGCATTCCCTCCTAATTTCAAGATCAGATACAAAAGCACATTATTTCTACAAACAAAAAAACTAATACAACTTTTGTTCACCCTGTAACACTTACTATATAATTCACAATTCATCTTCAACATCTTTCACATTAGCCTCACAGAAAAGAAAAAGTTTCAGCTTTACTGAAACAAACATTTAGTTTATTAAGCCATTTCATGGCATTACATAGATAATACATGGAAGGCACAGTAATGTGTCCATGGGAAACAATTAAATTAATCTCATTCTTTTGATTTATTCATCCCAACAATACTGTGTGGTTCTGCTGTTAACGCAATTGGCTAATTTGTTCTGAAGAGACAGACATGGTTATAATAAATATAAAATTTACCTCTATTTGTATGCCACTATCACCACTATTACATTTTGCATTTCTTGCAGCCTTCTTCCCCTTCTTATGCTCTTTGCTGGATCTCCAAACCAGAGGGCCAAACCTAAGATCAAGGAAGTAAGAAATGAGAGATAATATAAAGTGGAGACATGCTCTGAAGATACTCCAGGTATTGTCAGAAACTCACTTAAACTTGGAGTCTGAGGCTGCATCTTCCTTGCCAGGCGGGGGTAGTGGTGGAGGTAGAGGAGGAGGTGGTGTCTCAGTGCTCTGAAGCTGTGCATTCTCATCTTCACCAAGAGGTTGTTCTTCCATCACATCTTCTCCACCCTCACTTCCCTCTTTGCTTCCTCCTTTTTTGTGGAATTTGAGAGCAAAACTCTTCCGGAACTTCTGAAGAATACTTTCTGATGCATTCCCTATAGACAGCAATCATTTCATTGTTTCAATTTTGTTATCGCCACCATGAACATCCTTATGGGCACAAAATCAGCACTTGTTCTCAATAACTATGGGTTATTATTTTCAATTTAATTGTTTCTTCCTTGATTCCGCTTCTATCCATAACTACCACAAAGTGCAAGAAAGAGATAAATTATATAACACAGCAGTAGTTCTTACAGAAACTTTGGCTTGCTTCAGCAGCCATGGTGGAAGCCAAGACCACGATCATTAAACAAAAATCAGATCAGGGAAAGATGAGGTTACAGTGGAGTCGCATCATGCACACATATAACTTGTGCAAACTCAACCATGACCCCCCCCCCAACCCCAGTGACTACCCCCTGACAGTGCTGTGATCAGAATACATTTCACAGATATCACCCATAAGTTATTCATGGTTTTATTATAACAGTGAATTCTCAACCTCATATACAACCCAATAACATATCCAACTTACATTCAGGAAGCTGTGTTTGATTCTTCAGATACTTAATGACTCTGTTCCGACTACAGAGGACATAATACATGAAATATGTCACACTGTAATACTTACTGAGATGGGAAGATGATCATGAATGGTGAGCAGATATGGATTTGGAAACTGAAGATTCTGAGGTACTATCCTGGCATTTGCAGGGAGTAACTACAGGAAATCCATGAAAAATATCAATCAGGAAGCTATTAAATACACAAGGTTCAAAGTGGTATCACCTGTAAGACAGGATTATTGCTACATAAATATGCTTGGTGTATTCAGAGGTAGCCAGGTCAAAATCTGACTGGAGACTAGCTAACCTGACTATGGTTTAATGTGGGTTTCCTCAGCCCTCTGGCAAATTCTGGGATGATACCTTGAAACAAACACAGTTGCTTCTTTCATATCCTTCCTGTCCCACATTCACAATCAGCCTATCATCTCTTATTCAAAGCTACATGATCCCAGCATCATAAAATTACTGTGTAAGCAGCCACTTCAACCTGGTACTCTCACAACTGAAATGAGACAATACCAATAATCTTATTTATGCACTGAACTCAACAGCCAGGGGCCAATTATATGTTCAGCAGGATATAAAACAACAACAAAAACAAACTCAAGGACATGAAAAAAGCTGAACTAATTAAGGCAATTTAAATTTAAATACAAATTTCTAAAAAATATCTATCAATTTACAAACAGCATTAACAGCAGCAGCACATCTTGCAGAGGAACAGTGACTGGAGGAGCAAGTGAACACAGAAAAGTTTAATAAAATGTTACATATTGTGTTCTGAGCAGGAACACAAATACTGCTTGTAGAATAGAAGAATAACATTTTGCATCTTTATAAAAATTTATTGTGAGCACTGATGCCTGGTGTGTCGCATGTGGAAATCGAATCTTTCTAACATACTTTTATTGTCATCATCATTGAATATTTTGAAAAAATCTACTGCAGCAAAGGGCTATAAATGTTCTGTTTGTGGGCTCAAGTTTACTGGAGTCAGTAACTGTAATTGGAGTTCCAAACAAAAGGAACATTTTCAAGGTCTGATCTGATCAAAGTAAAAATATAGCATCAGTAAGATATACATAGGGAAGTCAAAAATTATCTGCACTCTTGTTTTTTCCAATTTATATATAGAAAAGTAGAGGTTGAACAAGTAAGTAATTTTTCTACATAGTCCCTTTCCTTTTCAATGCACTTGGTCAAGCAGTCCACAAGCTTGCGTATTCTCTCCAAGAAGAAGGTTTTCAGTTGGTCACGCAACCATTTATGCACCGCTTCTTTGACCATAGAAAATCAACAACCATGTAAAGCATCTTTGAGCGGTCCAAAGAGATGATAGTCAGAAGGGGCAAGATCTGGGCTGTAGGCAGGGTGTTCCAGCACCTCAAAACCCAAATGGTTAATGATTTCAATGGTCTGGCCGGTCATGTGTGGGCGTGCATTGTCATGCAACAACACTTTCTTCAACAATAGGCCTTGGCGTTTGGTGCGAATTGCTGGCTTCAGATTGTTGGCCAGCAAATCACTGTATCTTGCACTGTTGATCGTAACCCTTTTTCCAGGTAGTCTTCCAGTATAGGCCTCTTGAGTCCCAAAAAAACAGTTAGCATCACATTTCCCGCAGAAGATTGAGTCTTAAATTTCTTGTCCGGCTACTTTTAAACTTCTCCATGATACACATTTCTACACAGTAGAGCACCGTCCCCACACTGTGTTGAAAGTCTCCGATGAATTTCAGTCCCTGACACACCTTCCAACCAGAGAAATCGGATCACTGTTCTTTGTTCCTCCTTGGTGCACACTGCTACTGGAGTGGCCATGTTTACACTGTCAGAGCATCAAGGAAAATGATGCGATCAAGGTCAAACTTCGATCACGTGACCAGAGTAGTACCAATTCTAAGCATGCATACGCAAAAGGCGCTGTGACAAACCTAAAGATGTGTTGTGGCAATAGTGCGGATAATTTCTGACTTTCACTCATATGTGTCAGAAAAGGAAAATACTGTCATGTAGGGACAGGAGGAGTGCTATTTGAAAAATGAATGTATGTGTCAGGTTCAAAGAAAGGATCTGATTCAGCACAAAATAATTAATTTAAGTAACAGTATTATTGTTTTGATATCAAATTATTAGGAACTGTGAAATGTAATTAAATTTATTCACAAATCAAAATATGTCAAAACACAAATATGACCATATATGTGCATGATAAAAAGAAACCTGCCAGAGAACCAGCCATGATCAACTGTTTCATGGGTATAAAATATAACACATATAAGTGACACTACAATATTACTCAGTAATTTCATGCCAACTGCATCAGATCTTATTGAGGTAATTAATTACTGAACTACAGCAGGAAATAGGCTTTCTGAACAGCTGTTTACAGCAACATGTGTTGGCAATAATGACAAAACAACCATCACATATGGAATTATCTGAAACTTCACCAGACGGATGGTTTGTGAGAAAAATATAAAACTGAGAGAATTCTGCCAAATATATGTGCTGTGTGGTGGAAGAATCATTTGGAAGTCACTGTGTAGACAAACACAAAACCTCAGAGCAGTCTCTTTCTCATCTACAGAATAAAAACTCAAGACCTGAAACACAATATCAGAGTTCCTTTATAACAACATTGATCACATACATAAATGCTTATTGCTTCACCTGAGATATTGCGCTGTGACTGTGAAAAGTCCTTGTTATCAGTAAGCCTAGGATGAGTGAGAAGGGGCAGTGCTGCTTGTGATGACAAGTAACTTGATGATCCTGTTGGTTCCTTCTCAGAGCAAGCTTGTGACTGTGGCCTAATAAGGAAATTCAAAGAACAACATAAATAACTTAGTAGTAGTATCATCACTATCCCATAATGTGTTGAAAAGTCAGCAGCCATTCTCTACTATGATACACAATAACTCTAGCTGCATGGCAAATCAAAGCTGTTACCTCATGCATTTAAATATAAAGTTATCATCCTCAATTTAATGGTTTGGTTCAACTTTTGCATGTAAAAAACTTTGTGGTTAAAGCCAGTAACAAAAATTAACATCTGCAAGATCCAAAACCACTTTCCACTTGTCTTCAGTATATTATGTCTTGCTAAATGGTCCTTGTGGGATATAAAAGCTTTTAAGGCACATAAAACAAGATATCCTCAGTATACTGGTCACAGTATGCAGCTTGACATAAAGGAGCTTCATGAAACAGAGTTACAGTCCACTCACTATAGTGAAAATGCCCTGCATGCAGTCTTCCACAACAAGTAATCTATTTCCAAAGAAATGCTGTGAAGAAAATTAAACTGTAGGCCTCCATTCATACAATTTGGTAGTATACAAGCTTACTCTAAACTATCTTTACTGTTACCATTATAAAATTACATCCTTGACTGATGATGCAGCATGGTTGTGGTCCTGGGTTCAGGTCCTGTCCATAGCGTGGGTAGATGGTGTGATGTGGAATGTGAATGTGCCCAACACCGGAAATGTGAATTGCTTTCTGGATTAAATTTATAAATTATTCTATTTACCAAATGTAGGAAAGACATTAATCAAAGTTTATGAATGATAGTTTTCTGGAAGTTATTTCTATATTTTAATATATGATTTAAGAAGTGTGTATATACAAATGGTGAAAGCATAGACTGTTTTGTAGAATTCCTTCAGCTTGTAACTGGCATGCATTTCTAAACCTGTAGAGTATTCTGAAAGGTGACAGAATGTACACCATTGTCTACAAGGATATTACTCTCCTGTGTCTAATCTCCACCATTTCCTTAATGTTAAATGGAATGACTACTACAATGTGCCAGAATCTTCTGCATTGAATTATGCCACCCTAAATTGTATATCTTGTTCACAGATTTCAGATTCATTTCTTTATTACTTAATGTGTCGGAATGTTAATGGTTTATTCATGTAACACTTTTTCTGTAACATTTTGATGATAACATTCAAATTGAGGGATACTTTCATTAAGGATATATATACATATTCCTGGGGTGATTAGACATAAGGTAGGAATTTATCTCCAGTCATTTACAAACAGTAGAGATATAGTCACCAAGATTTTATTAGGTTTTAGAATTGTTACAAGTTAAAATTACAAAAGCAACTATTTACTTTTATATATATGTATATATATTAAAGAGAATCCATGAAAGCATCAGCTTGGGAACCAGTGTTTTGTAAAGGTGTGTTCCAGATGATCATGATGAGAGAAGTGTCCTTCAAGCTGGTCACTATATAAGTACTTCCTAATCTATGACTTCACTTACAGTCGTTTCTCCATTGCCACAACAAATTGTTTGCTCCATGCAGTGTGAAGAGGAATGATTTGAAACAAAAAAGGAGGAAATTAATATAACAAGGCATGCTGTAAGATTAACCAACCACCAGCATAATTTTGTAAAAATAATGCAGTGCATTTGAAATTGGCCTCTCAATTCCAAATATGTAACAATTACCTTATGTTTATTGCACTTTATGAACTTGTACTATACATTTCCTTCAAATGAAAGAATCATTCTGTAAGAACATGATTAAAATGATGCATTACACATTTAATTTGGTCCTGAATAGTAGCTTTGTACAGTGGAACATATGTATGTGCAATCCATGCGCACATACTTTAATGCATTCATGCCAGCACTCACACACACAGGCATACATATACATAACACTGAATAAATATTTCCAGTATTGCTTCATAGACTTCCAAAGTTTCTTTTTTTACTTCTTTTAAATTCACATGCCATATTTAAAACACTCCATACTGTTACACTGGTTATTTACCAAGTGCCAAATTAGAGTTAAATACGATAGACATGAGATCTTATCAATAAGAAACAGTTCAATAGCTTCCACAGTTAAATCCTTGCTTTAATGTTTGCCCATACTGAGTAGTTAAAATGTGATTGAGAAGTCCTTGAGTGAGGCAGTGTTGAGTGTTAGGTTTGTTCTGCTGTGTCAATGTGGGTTGAGTTTCCGAAGTTTGGCCCTTGTTTTCCACAAGTTAGTAAGGAAGAATTTATTTATAGAAAGCTGGTCAGTTTTAATTAACATCAAATATTACTGAAGGCAGATCTAGGCATCCTGTGAAAATGTGATTTTGGAACAGGCAAACATCTGATATTGCAAGTCACCTACAGAATTCTGATTTTTAACAACAGGATCTCACATACAGCAATTCTGCTGTAGGTACAGGAGGTTTCAACTTTTATTTGCCATGTGACTGGGTATAATTCTGCAAAACTACTATGACCAAACACTAATATGCTACTGAATCATATGCAGCATTCTTAGAATACCCACCTTTGTGAATGGAGAACCATACGTCTCCAGTCATGAGCAAAATGATGAGTGGCATGAATGTTTATGTCAGTAGGACTAAAGATCGGGAATCCAACCCATATGAATGTTTCAGAGAACAATCCAAACATTCAAAAATTTCTACATACACAAAACAAACTATAATATTTCTTTTTATAAAATTCTTTAAAATCAGAATATTTTAAAATCCTAAGTTTAGCAGCTGAAAAAAAGGTTTGTGGAGTAACACAGCTAATGTGTGGTGTGTGCCAAATTTGTTTGGATTTAGTTCTGAAGATGACGTGCTGAGCAATAGACTTTAGCTGTGGTATTGTAGTAGTAGTCTTCAGTCCTTGTGTTCATGTGCAAGTGATATAACCCTAGGCTGCCCCACCTTCTAATGTCCCAGTCAGATTTGCTGGTGATTTGGTCATCAAGAGGTGTGCTGGAAACCTTGGTGTGCCGGACTGACTTGGAAAGTCCTGGAGACCGTCGGTATTGGCTTGTGTCCTGTCCACTTGACGACGGTTCCCTCACAGGCTGCAATGAATATACATTTTCGTCAGCATGGATACAATTCTTGAACATTTACTATCCTGAAGGTAATGTAAAGTTCTCCTTATGTTTAATTAATTAAGCACTATGCCATGAAGACATATGGGGGAGTGGAGGCATAACTCCACCATTTTTCACCTCAGCACTGTCATGCAAGTATTTATTTACATAAAAAGAAACCTGTAACATTATTTCATAAAATGGTAAATAGTAAGAATAGTTCCAGATCGGTCTTATATCCTGCCACTGCTAGGCAAAGGAGCATGAACTTAGCTCTAGTGGATAGTAACCAGTGAATTGAAAACGATCTTGAAAGAATTACTGTGGCCTAATCTGATGTACTGTCTCGTGCATTTGCCTGAAGGGACTGAGCAGAACCATTAAAATCATGTCATAACAGTCGGTGTCTGTGACGAGATTCGAACTAGGCACCTCTCCAATATGTCAGAAGCTTTAATATTTCAGCCTATTTTCCTGGTCTCCATTTTGGTACTGGGAGTTCGGAAACATCAGCGCCATTAAGGAAAACTGGTCGATTGCCGTCAACAGTACCAAACTCCATAATAGTGAGAACAGGATATGGACGGACGGTCAGACACATAAGTTCACCGAACTTCGCGCTCGAGTGATTAGCGTTCCTGCTTCGTATTCGCGGAGATTCCGGCATTGATTCTAGGCCCAGATCCGAGCTCTCCTGAGGCTTTTTCGTGATAAATTATTCCTCACTACATCCGGCTATTTTTTTTTTCTTTTTGCCCATAAAATAAATTCTTAGCACTGGTATCTCCTTTATGGGCTCAAGACTCGAATCCGCTCGCTTATATTTTACTTCAGGTTTTCCTAGTTACATTTTCCTTGTTCAGGGGCAAGAAACACCTAGACGAGGCCTCTCGGCTGGTTATCGTTTGTTTCGAACAGCGTTTGAAAGGAATTCCTATCGATCTGTGGGTGAAATAGGGCGACATCAAGTCCTATTAAGCCAGTATGACCTACATCTTGGAAGGCAGGAATTCTTTTCCATGAAGAAAAATAGATAATTCGGCAATTTGACAAATTTCATCGTAGCATGAGTCCCTTACGGGAATGTAATTTCTCTCTTCAATTAACTGCCACAGAGTTACTGCAAACCTTCCTGTTTAGTCCACGTGTATGCTGATCACATTGACCGCATAATTATCTTTCAAAGTATACAAACAAACATTGTATGAAGTTGTCCAGGTGCTTAATTAAGCACCTTGTTATGAAGACGTCTGGAGAGTGGAGGTATAGCTCCAAACATTCTTAACCTGTCACTAAATGGAGGTTATGTGGTCAGCTTCACACCCCGACTGCTTTAACACCGCGCAAGAGAATCCTGCTACTGATTACTTGGAAAGCTTGCTGGGTTCAAAAGCCGGCTTGAACATGGTGCGAAAAACAACACAGTCCGTGTAGGTGCAAGATTAATAACACATCACGTTGTACCCACTCGGCATGTAACTAACTTTGAACGAAAATTAGATATACGTAGGTCGTACCGAAAGTCATGAGCAACTTTTTTTTTGCATGCAACCTGGGAACAGCAGAAGAAAGCGAGTATGGTGGTAGGTGGAACCAGCTGTTGTGTTAACCTTGAGTGTCTTCTGACGACGATAGCATCGATCGAATTTCTTGTGAAAGAGGAAATCCCTGCTGCAGAAATTCACCAGAGACTTCAGCGTGCTTATGGAAGTGTGTGCATGGGTGCGAGCAGTGTTCGCAGATGGGTGAAACATATTGAAGATGGGGACACCAGCATCGAAGATGAGCCTCGGAGCGGTCGTCCTCGAACAGCCTCAACAACAAGGAAAGAGTGTATGAGATCATTCAAGATGACAGGCGTGTGACTGTGGACACAATAGCCCGAAAACTTGGAATAGGGTACAGTGCAGTCAGTACAGGAGATGATTAAAAGCTTGGGCTGGTTTCACCATTTCGAGCCTGAAACGAAACGGCAGAGTATTGAATGGCACCATTTGCATTCTCCATCAAAAAAGAAGCCAAAGACAGTGCCATCAGCTGCGAAGGTGATGGGCACAGTCTTCTGGGATCCAGAGGGGTTTATTCTGNACTCCCAGAACGCTGGGAGAAATGTGTACAAAGAAGTGGCGATTATGTGGAAAAATAAAGAAAGGTCTGTAGATTGAGGTGGTGTATTTGGTTTGTCAATAATGAAGCATGTTACTTTACAAAACATTGCTGCTCATGACTTTCAGTGCGACCCTTGTACTTTTTTAGTTCACTGGCGTCATTTTTGTCCCCCCAAAGGTGTCTCCACCTTGTCATGGTGGTGGGGCTTGCGTGACTCTGTGACCTGGCGGTAGTTTAACTACCGGTAGGGTCACCCATGCCGGAAAGGTCAAAGGGCATAATCCAGACTAAGAGAGACCCTGGTCCTCCAGGTTGGGGGGTTGGGAATGGGGCTAACAACCTCATCCTATAAAAAGAATTTTGTTCAGAAATCTAACAACCAGCCTGGGATCATGATGCGTGGGTCCATTCCTATGGCAGCATGCACTGGTTGTGGAGATTGGTTGCAGAGGAGGACAAGGCTGTACCGCCGAGTGGTAGGTAGGTAGCATCGTGTTTGTAATCTGAGGGTAAACGGCCGTTATATAATAACAATTTTTCTATTTCAGTGCTGAATCTGTGCCGCTATTTTGTTAGTTTAGATCCCTCAGGTACATAATTTGTGGAAATTCATGCCACTTTTTTTTTCAATCCATACAGTTGGTCATTAATACGGTATCAGCCCGCGCGTGGGTAATTGAAGAGAGCGGGGTTGCGGGGGGCTGGGGAAAGTTGCTCATGATTGAAAATCCGGTGAACGTAGCTGGAGCTACTGAAATGACCGAGTAGGTTCGCGAAACCGCGAATTAATTGGAAATGAACAGTTGGAGTAAAGAGGGGTGATAATTAAAAGGTTATAATCACGCCACAACAGATGACTCGAAACCATTCATACCACACTAAACCAGTTGCTGATAACAGAATATGTATTACAGTTTATGTGGACTTAGGCTTACATATAACAAAAGGTAAAAAACGGTAAAGTTGTCCCTGTGCTTAACTAACGAAGCACTATGCCATGAAGGTGTATGGGGGAATTGGTGTAGATATCCGCATTTTCTTGACCTAGGCTCCACATATTCGTATGGTAGCAGTGTAAACAGCATGATCACATATCAACCAAAATTTACAATTCTAACGCTGACATTTTTTAATAATGATGGAGTAGACCTGTTTTTTTATTGCTAGTGGGGTGGGACTAAGTCCCTTGCACTGCGGCCACTTCTGGCCTATTGTACCAGCCCCAGATGACAGGTGAGGGTGATTGTGGAGCAATTGGTGGAATTAAGATTGACAGTACTCGGAGAAAACCTGCCCCAGCGCCACTTTGTCCACCACAAATCCCACTTGACCAGACCCGGGATCGAACCCGGGCCGCCGCGGTGGAAAGCCAGCGACTAACCGCTTGAGCTATGGCGCGACCTAGTAGACCTGTAGTTTTCTAAATAAAACAAAATTTTCTCATCAAAAATGAATTCTCCTCTCCCGGATCTATATTTTCTCAGTGCCAGTAGGAGTGCTTCAAACGAAATTTATACTTGGGAGAAATTAATAATTCCCTAGCAATAAGAACCCGGAAGAGCTCGGGCGGTACAGCTACTGGACTAAGGGCTGGACGGGCTAGTCAGGGCTCTATGTGAGACTTGAGGTTTTTAGTCTGCAGGCACCTGCTCACGCTGGGTTTTTCTAAGATGACGGCGATAAGTTCCTCCGAAAGGTCGGTTCACACAAGATCTACACGGTGCCACATCCCAGAAGACGGCATTCTTCATAGTCAGGGTTCGATTCTCGGTAGAGACAAGAGGTTTTTCTCTTCTCATTAACGTCCGGATCGGCTCTGGGGCTCACCCTGGATCCTATACAGTGGGCACAGGGGGCTGTTTACTTGGGGATAAAGCGACAAGGACGTGAAGCTGACCACTCACCTCCAACTAATGCCGACGTCAAGAAAATGTGGATCTACACATCCACTCCCACATACGCCTTCATGGCGTAGTGCTTTATTAGTTAAGCACAGGGACAACTTTACCTTTTCTTACCTTACGAGTTGAAGTAACTGTGACTGGGGTCCGCCCATGCTTCTTATTCTAGCATCCAATTGTTAATCTCGGGCCGGTGACCGACTGTCCTAAGGTTTTCGTGGTTGTTCCCAGTATTTACAGCAAGATAGCAGAATTAATTAGGTGTCGTTCTCATACTCGAACATCCTTTCCCGCTTATTATTCATTAATAACCTTATCATTCGACGCTAAAAGTGTGAGCAACTGAAAGCGTCATGGAACAAACCAAGATAAACGTGTGCAAGTTTTCAAATAAAGCAGTGTTCTACCTCGCCACTATTACGCACAACAGACGATGTTTTATCACTACATATTATTAATATTATCCAACAAACAAAGCAAACTCCGTGATTTTAGTCTGCAAGCGAACTATACCGACCGAGCGACAGCCGCTTGTCGGCGAAATTAGTGTCAAATTTAGCGGAGAGAGGGTGTCGCGTGGTCAGCGCAACGTATACCCCACGGCAGTTACCTCGGTTTTCTAGACTGGAGCCGCTATATCCTTGAAATAGCTCCTCAATTATCCTCACGAGGCTGAGTGGATCCCATTCCAGACCCACTACTTCTCAGAAAATCTGGTAGCGCCTGGAATAGAACCCGGACCTCTGGATCTGTAGCCAGGAACTCTGACCATTAGACCATAGAGGCGGTCATTACTGATTTCAACAAAATACAAAATACAGTATGCGTGCAAAGCGAAAGACAGACACGTGAACCTTTAACGTTTCCACTTTCAGAACGACAACAAGAACACTAGTTCTTAAGTCCATATAATTATAAAGGTACCTCCCACTAGTGCCGAGGTCAAGAAAACGTGGATCTAGACATCCTACCATA